CTACTTCTCTGCACTGCCAATGGTTTTAGACAAAATGAATTACTGTGATCCCTTAGGGCAGGCTGCTTACACTTCTCAGCAAACAGCAGTGGGTGACCTACGGCTGAGCACAACAAAATATTATTTGCAGACACATTTGGTGGAGAAATGAGACACAAAGCCAGTTGCTCTCTCTTGAACATCAATTTAAAAAAAAAAAGTGGAGAGAATTGTAACTGCACTGTACACCCCAATAAACTAGAAGATGTATTTTGAATAAAAACTAGAATTAGTCTGAGCAAAACTAGTGTTAGTAACCTATCAACACAATACCAGAGGGTTTTTGTATTTATTAAAATGCTGTCAGAAATCATCTTAGTCTTGATAATGCTGTTCTTTTCTTATTGTTCTTCCACCACAACTTCAAAGCCTTATTATTTGCCCTTGAATAAGAGGCATTAGCCACGTCAAACAATCCATTCTTGCATGTTGAGGTGTGGGCAAGTGCTGTTCATAATCCCAGTTCAGAGGAGCAGTGCTCAGTGGCAGCAGTAGCAGGACAGTTCTCCCACTCACAATATTCTTAGGTTTGACTGTCAGAAACATGGTTGCTGACTCTAGTCATGTTGCTCATGAGTTTCTTTAGTTTCACTTTTCTCCTGCACGCTGCAAAATGTGCTGCTTCTCTATTTGGTTGACTCATTTAAGCATGTAGCAGTCCTTGCAAAACTGAGCTGTCTGGGAAACTTTACTGAGAAAATTGAAATTCTGCCAGAAGGATGTAATGGGAACATTTGCTGAATGTAGGGGTTTTTTTGTTTGGCACTTTACTTTTAAACTGTGTCATGTAAAAATCAAAATTATCTCACTGCTATTTTTATTTCTGTGGTGAGGGAATGTAATAACCAAAAATCTCATCTGATGTTACACTTACAAATTAGCAATGTTGTAATTCTCTATATGCAGTTTATTCATAGAATTCGTAACACTTTTTCACAGTATGTTCTTTCTTGTTAAGATCTCACTCTTCTTTTGAAATGTAAATGTTTGACATGAGGATTATAAATAAAATGCAGAGTAGGCTAAAATTCAGATTTCAGCAGACTTTTGTTTGTTTGTTCTGACACAAACTAGAATAAATAGTGGTTTTGGTGATTTTGATTGGATTCCATAACTTCTCACTCTTTAGCTTACATGTAGAAGACAGCTCTACCTAAAGAAACCTACCCTCAATCATTAGGTATTTATATTAGTTCAGTCAGAGTTAAAATAATCTGACTCAGAAAAAAGTCAGTGAAGATGTGGTTCTGCAACATAAAGGAAGACTGATATTGTTGACACTAGAACTGGTGCTCTTTATAATATAAGCAGATGAAGAAACTGTCTCATAAGGAAATGTATTTAAGGATGTTTATTCTTTGCCTTTTACACAGACATCAGTGACATATAAATGTCTCCTATTTGGTTTTAGGTAAAGTGTGCACAGTACTGGCCACAGAAGGAGGAGAAAGAAATGTTTTTTGAAGATACAAACTTGAAACTAACATTGATATCTGAAGATATAAAATCATATTACACAGTACGACAGCTAGAATTGGAAAACCTTACGGTAAGGTCAGAAAGTATTACCAGTCAGAGTCTTCAGCCTCTCTGAGGTGAGATTCACCTCCTCATCAATAAGGTCTTGAAAAAGATGGTCATGAATTGTAGCAGATTTTATTCTGGCATTGGTGGTTCTGCATGAGATTGATTGTTCTTCAGCCTCTACTTTGTGTGTTGTGTAAATGAAACTCTTAAATATTTGTGAAACTTATCCGGGGAAACTACAAATCCTTTTCATCACTTGGCTATACACTGAGTGAGAAGGTTAGTGACTACCTTTCTGAGAACCCCTTATAAAATCCCTTAGTGGATGTTCTAGTGCTTTTGTGTTACAGCTGAAATAATTGCTTTTCCTGTCACAGAAGCTTTTTGCTTGTCTTGTTCTACGGTTTGTTTTTAGGCTTTGGCTTAAATTGCCAGGTTTTGTATTGATGGCCTTCATCAGAAAGCAGGAATTGTTTAGTCCTCGTCCTGCAATGAGCTGTGTGGACCTTGGTACATGGATCAGGCCACTAGTTTTAAGATAAATAACTCTCTTTTTTTTTCCTTTTGTGCAATACCTAAATAAAAGTACACATGCTGATTCCCACCTCTCAGCACTGCCCTGTGTTAGGAGCAGTGAGGGCTAATCTAAAGCTCCTTGGGGAGACTGGCTAAGGAAGAACACCATTAACTTTCACTGACTGCAGGTGACTGAAGATGTCTGAGGTCCTCAGTGGTGCTGAGATGGGTGTGTATGTGGTGATGTGCTAGCCTGAGTTCTCCTCTGTCCTGGTACTGCTCACTTCTGGAAGACACAGTTACTGCTTTGCTTGTCTGTTAGCATCTTTCATGCTTCATCCTGCCAGGAAATGTGAGACAGCAGATAGGAATTTGACTAAATTGTGGCTGAGTAAGAATTTAGTTGGTGTAGTTTGTGGTGTGTATTAACTACAAGGTCTGCTGTAGAGATGTTTAAGGGTTGTAGCTCAGCATTCTAGGAGAATGTGAGCACCAGTGTTTTGGTTGTCTTGGAAGACAAGTCTGCAGGTTGGGAACAAACCTGTTAAGGAACAGCTGTGATAGTGCAAGCGCATTATGTTCAGGAAGTGCAAAGGGCATCTATAACTTGAGGTACTTAAAGAAATCTTAAAATAATCTTTTATTGTTAGAAATTAGAAGGTAGTAGTGCCAACTATCTCATGGCCATACATGCATTTGAACTGTATTGGAAAAAAACCCATGTTATACATAAGTACATTTTCTTATCCACTTTCTTTTGCTCAAAATTGAGACCTTTGCAACAAGATATAATTATTTTGTAGTTTCTTAGCTGTGCAACTGTAAAAGCTCCCTCAGACTGGTGGAACTTTTGACATTTGAATTTAAGCCAGCTGTTCTAAAGATGCAGTGTGGTCTCAGCAGCATACAAAGCTGAGCAGGCACATGCCTCCGTTCCATGTGAGTCAGTTCTTTTAAAAGGAAGTAGCTAAAAATTTTCCAAAGGCACAAATTTGAATTTGACCTAAATGTAAAAATATCTAAAGCTGTATGTCTAAATATGTATTTTGCTAGGAAAATGAATGAGGAATTGTATTTGCTGATGAGAACATTGCTGTAGGCAGTGGTGCTCTGGCTGCTTCTGACTGGTGGGTATGAACTAACAGATGCCCTAAATACTCTCTCTACAGACACAGGAAACTAGAGAGATTCTGCACTTTCATTATACTACGTGGCCTGACTTTGGTGTCCCAGAGTCACCTGCTTCATTCCTCAATTTCCTGTTCAAAGTCAGAGAGTCTGGCTCCCTGAACCCCGAGCACGGGCCGGTTGTGGTGCATTGCAGCGCGGGAATCGGCAGATCGGGAACTTTCTGTTTAGTGGATACGTGTCTTCTACTGGTAAGAGCTGCACATTCCAGAAGATATACTCTTTCTGTAGAGCTATTTTGAGGAATGGTTTGTTGTTGGCTCACAAAGAGCCATGGTATGTTCTGTGAAGTACTGGTGCACGCTATTCCCCATCATCCTACTCATATTCTGGTTTGGAAGTGTATTCCAAGGCAGATCTCATTCTTAACTGGCCATTTTAAGTCTGGGGAATAAAAGTCTGTAGTTTTTAGAGTGATTTGCAAAGAAAGGCTTTGTCCTTGTGGTTAAGAAAACAAAAACACTAGATGCCTGCTAAGTAATAGCGGAACCTATCCTGAAAATGCAAAATAAATCTAATGTTTCCTTTTACAGAGTCAACCTTGCTCGTAGGCAGAGGGAAATTATCCTGACTTTATGATAAAACTGGAGTTTCCTTGGCTTTGCTCTGTCACCATGACACACCTGACTGGAGTTTCCTTGGCTTTGCTCTGTCACCACGTGAGAGCAGCTGATACACACAAGTCAGGCCTATGTTAAAATGTCCTTTTATTTTTTCCTAGTTATATTTTCACAACAAGAGAAACAAAAAAGGGAAAAATGTGTTTTCCTTTCTCTGACTTCTTAGAGGCCAGATAAATAGCTGCCAGTACCAGATTTATTAGTTTAATTCTGTAGTGTGGCGGGTATTCTGAAGGCCATACTACAAAGTGAGTCATTCCATTGAATCTCAGCATAAAGCATGTTTCAAATTTTTATCTTCAGATGGACAAACGGAAAGATCCTTCTTCTGTGGATGTTAAGCAGGTTCTCCTGGAAATGAGGAAGTACAGAATGGGACTCATACAGACAGCAGACCAGCTTCGTTTCTCCTACCTAGCTGTTATTGAAGGGGCAAAATTCATCATGGGAGATGCTTCAGTGCAAGTAAGCAGAACTGTAGTAACACAGACTCTATTTGTGCTATTTCAGTTTTCTGGAAGTAGATTAAAATGTTTATAGCAAATGGCTTCTGTTGTACTGGAGGTACCGTAGGTTTGGAGGTTTTGTCTCTTTTTTTTCTTTTTTTTTCCCAATGCAAATCAACAGCTTAACAGGGCTTTTCCTTCCTGAAGGAACAGTGGAAAGAGCTCTCCAATGAAGATCTGGACCCTCCACCTGAACATACCCCACCACCTCCCAGACCACCAAAGCGAACCTCAGAAATGCACAATGGAAGGATGCATGAACACACGGAATTCTTTCCTAAACATCAAGTAGAGGAAGAGGTTACGTGTTCAGTCAGCACTGTGGAAGAGATGGTTCCAGATGGCAGAGCTCATTCATCTGTACCACTGATCACAGAGAGGTGAGTCATTTAGTTTCCTACATTTAACTGTCCCAGTTGCCGTACAGCGTTGAAAAGTTGTAGGACATCTGCTCATAAATGACATTTCATACAGGTCCTGAGTAGGCCTTGAACAAGTTAGTCTAATAGTAGTTCCAACTCAAAATCTTTACAGCAAATGTCTTAGACTCATGTTCTTTTAACTTCACACATAAGCTAGGGCCTCTTAAAGGATCCTGCTACAGTAAAAGTGACAGCATAATGAGGTGGCTTAGTCCTGATTTACAGTGTATGTAAAGTCACAGAGGAGCTCTTTCACTAGCTGAAAACTAGGCTGACTAGCTTTAGCTGCCCTTTGCTGCAATTAATTTCACACTTCTAAGACACTTGATGAAAGGAGGGAGAGAAACGCTGTGTAGAGGAGCAGTGGCACAGGTGGCAGTGAGGAAGCCGAGGATCCTGCCTGCTGTACCACTAGAGGTCACTCCCGATTTATGGCAGTGGTGTGGAACACGTGGAAATGAATCCCACTGCTGCTGGCATCCTGCCTGCTAGCTAGTTCTAATTAGAAAAACCGAATGAACACCACACAGAAAAGAAAAAAAAATAATTAAAAAAGATATATTAAGATAAATAAATAAATAAAACCCAGTACACCCACCATGGACAATCAAGGAAAAGTTTAATGGTCCCCCACTATATGGTCTCCTAGCAACACATCTTCACCCCCCCCTTAGAAATACTGAAATAAAATACCAATTTTTAGTATTGTCCTCATAACTAGAGCCTTTTTAGCATATGGAGCTGGCAGATAACATATTATTTATGTGAACCAGTGGGGAAGGGTGTGACTCTGGGAACTGGAGATGAGTGAGACGTTTCCAATAATCATTCTTCAAAATAACTGCTTGAAAAGAGTCCAGCACAGAGCCACAAAGATGATTAAGGGAGTGGAACATCTCCCGAGGAAAGGCTGAGGGAGCTGGGTCTCTTTAGCTTGAAGAGGAGGCTGAGGGGCGATCTCATTAATGTTTACAAATATGTAAAGGACAGGTGTCAGGAAGATGGAGCCAGGCTCTTCTCACTGATGTCCAGTGACAGGACAAGGGGCAGTGGGTGCAAGCTGGAGCACAGGAGGTTCCACGCAGACATGAGGAAAACCTTTTTCACTATGAGGGTGACAGAGCCCCCAACAGGCTGCCCAGGGAGGTTGTGGAGTCTCCTCTGGAGACATTCAGAACCTGCCTGGATCTGTTCCTGTGTGACCTACTCTAGGGGATCCTGCTCTGGCAGGGGGGTTGGACTAGATGATCTTTCAAGATCCCCTCCAATCCCTAACATTCTGTGATTCTGTAAAAATAAACCTCCTAATTTCATATAGTGGAGATGCTGAGGCATGAGGCCTCTTGTCTTGCTCCAAACTCTGCTGGAGGCAAGGAGATAAAACAGAAGTGTTTTCCAGCTCAGTGTGAAATCTTTTGATCAGGATTTTTCTTAATTCATTGGGGAGATGCTGGAAGTGAAATATCCAAATTCCAAACATCTTTACTAAAAAGAAAAGACATCTTAAAGTAAGAAGAGTGTGGCATGGTAGCACCTCCCTTTTTCTTCCCTGTGTTACAGTTCTGTTACCAGAATATTTGCTTGGGATGTGAGATGCCACTTAATGCTTTCTACATCTAACAAAAAGTATGGATTTAAAGTTGGCATCTTGTGTCTTCTCAATAGCTACTGTATAAATCAGAATTTCTCAGCAAAGAATTATTTCCTGGAAATGCTTTATACAGTGCAGTTTAATTGAACATAATACATGTCCAGCTCTAAAGAGCTCAGAAACTCAATTAGTTTATTACAGCCCTTTGTCTCTGAGACTGGAGTTGAGTCATCCTCTAGAACTGGCAGAGGCTGACTTCTACTTTTTACCTTACTGAAGTCCTAACTTATTGTCACAGTTTGACTCAGGATCAGCAATTAAACCAATTACAACAATGCTCTTGATCCCCTCTCCCTCCCACCCGGGTAGGGATAGATAGGGAAAGGAGAGAGAATAAAGAGAGAAGCTTTCTCAACTGAAAACTAAACTAGACAGCTTTAATTAAACACTAATGATAAAAGAAAACTTGTACAAATTTACAGAAGTATGTTCAGGCATGTGCAAAGCTCCTGTCACCTTCCCCCACCCCCAGCAACTCCCATGGCATCACCCAAGCTCTGAGCAGCTCCAAAATGTCCTGGAGAGAGTGGCAGAGCAGACAGGAACTGAGGGTGGAGTTGTGAGGGTCAGGAACACACAAGCCTGGGGATCAACAGTGATGGATAGATGAGGTCCTCCCCAGATGCTAGCCATGGCACAGCTATTTTCCCACCCACGTATTCCAGTGTCTAGGATGGAAGATTCCTGAGTTATTTTATATGTACAATGTCAGCAGATGTCTAGGAAATCCCCCTGCAAAGCACCTCCCTGCTGGTTACTACCCCAAAGATTCTCACAGCTTAATGCTGCTCTCCTTTCTACTTTGAACTGGAAGAATATGTACAGTAGATACAGAAGTTCCTGCTCAGTTAAGAAGCCTCTTTGGGTGTCAATATACTGCCAACAGGATGAAGGTTCTAGTATCTAGAAACAAAACCATGTTTAGAGTATAGTAAAGGTGAAGACATCTTCATTTCCATCATTAAAAGCTGTTGCAATGCATTTAGCCCCTCTAAGTCACGGCTGCATGAGCAAACACAGTTCCATCATTTTCTGACTTTCTGGGCAGGTGCTTGAGTTTTAGAGCCTTAATGTTCTCCTGGCCTGGATTTAGGTTGCATTTATGCTAGTTCACTTTTATCAGTCAAGGTAGCAGATTTGTGATAAGCAATGGGAGTAGATGGGAATTTAAAACAGTTTATTCTTTAAAGGGCAGAAAATACTCCCTAGCATAGGTTTTCATTACAAGCACTGTTCTAAACCTGAAATTTAATAGTCAGAACTTAAATACTGAGTGACAGGCTTTGGTGTGCCATCTGCTGGAGCTCCTGATAGCAAGATTTCCAGCCTTGTCTGTGATGTTCAGTGGGTGGGGCCAGGCTTCTATGGAGTCTGTGGCTTCCCTCCTCAGCGATAATCTAGTACTGAGTACTTGTTTCTTTGTTCTTAAGCACTAGTCAAGACACTGAAATTCGGAGGAGAACTGTTGGTGAAAGTCTGCGTGTCTCGTCCCACAAAGAAGAGTCGATGAAGTCAGAAAACTCAGAAGAGGATGATGAGAACATGGTGACAACTTGGAAGCCATTTCTAGTGAATATATGCATGTTCACTTTCCTCACAGCAGGAGCTTATCTCTGTTACAGGGTGTGTTTTCATTGATGGACATGCTAGCAAGATCGACCCTGCAGAAAACACCAACGACTGGATGGGTTTGTAACAAGCTCTGAAAGAAAGCTGAGGCATGTGAGCCTTGTCTCACTGGAAGCAGATCTTAGGTTGACAGGCCAGAACTTTGGTTAGGGCTTCAAGAGAGAATTGATGCACTAGGGTTTTATCTAGCCCTGTGGTCCCAAGAACATAATATTCTAATCTCAGGGCCTTAAAATATTCAGGAGTAAGCAGAGAAAATGCCAAATAGTCTGTTTTCCTTTTTTTTTTTCTTTTTTTTTAAACTAAATAATAGAATTACAACACATTGTTGTTTTTAGCCTTTTTTTAAAAAGCCAGTTTTTTCTTTTTTGTTTCAGAAAAACTAGGCATAAGTGAAACTTGCTTGTATTCTCCAAGTGTTGTAACCAAATACATGACTTCTATTGATGAGTTCCCAAAAAAAGAAAAAGAAACCCACACACCTGAAGAATGTAAACTTTTTGGAAGGGGAGGGCATTGGGGGAGAGGTGTTTGTGGTTGGTTTTTGGTTTGTTTTCTTAACTTGCATCATCATTAAAGACTGAGTTGTGGGCAGTGCCTGTGGTATTGATATATTTAATCTTGGCATAACTGTTCTTAAAGAGCTTATTGTTTTACATGTGTTTATAGAAACAGGCTTCTGCATTTGCTCAGGGTATCCCAACATGCCAAGCTATTTTTTTCCTTTTTTTTTTAAGTAAGTGTATCTCCTCCATGACTTTTGTTGCACTCTACTTGCACATATGCCTATTTACATTGCACCATCCTTTGTAAAGCTGTTTTTAGTTTTATATTCTGGGTTAGGAGAGATCAAGGGGAGGGAGAGAAACAGGAAGGGAAATTAAACCAAAACACGTCCACCAGCATTTTGCAGCTGTGCAGTTGGCATTTAGAAGGACCAGTTCTTAAACCTCATAATTTGGAATGTAAAATGAGTTTCAGTCTACATCTACTCCATAAGAAATACCGTGTGTCCTGCAAGGGCCAGAGAGGTACCACACTTAAAAGATATTGCAGGCAGTGAACAGGAATGCATTTTAATAAATCCAGAGCAATTAATGCTGTGGCAGCTTCCTTAAGACATAAAAAGTTCAACAGAAGACATGTTTATCTCTGAACGTATCAATTGGCTTATGATGCAAGTATTTGTGTTCTGCTTTTTTTAAAGCAAAGATTTAAAGTAATGGCTTGAAGATAATGCTCTTCAGTAACTGTAGGACATAGTGGTGCAATAGGCTCAGTCCTGCACCTCTGCAGACAGGGTTGTTGCTATACTAGAGTAAGCTGAGAAGGGGTGGTTTTGTCCTGTGGCACGTGGTGTTGCCACTGTCCTGCTCCATCAGGGCCTGTACCACAGGCCCAGGGCTTGGATAACATGAAGTGCTTGTAAATAAGGATTTGGGTGCATTGGTAGAACTGTGACTGGAAATTGGCATTGCACTAAACAGCCTTAGTCAATGCTGTTCCTTTTGTTATTATCAAATTATTAATAGTCTGAACAACTGCAAAGATTTCTTTGCTTGTGTCATGGTGCTGAGGAGAAGAGTAAATTCACTATTGAAAGTTGTAGTGATTGAAACTAAACCATGACAGCTGATTTGCAACAGTGTTACTAATCAGTTATTTTTATTTTTAAAAGCTTTTTAGATTTATAGCACTTAACCACCATTCTCAGTGCAAACATAGCTATGGAGTATCTTATGTAAGTCTCTCTCCACTCCATATTTATTTTTGCAAAGCTGTCTGTAGGTGTATCTCGTTTCTTTCAGTGACTAAGTTAGTGAACAAGGTGGGGGGGTGGGGGGATTTATTTCTATTTTGTGTTTTATTAAGCTTGCATCAAGGGCTTTTCAAAAGAACAGTAATAAATCCTCAGGTAGTACTGGGAATCAATACTTTACCTGTGAGACTGTTTGTCAGACCAGTACTTGAAAGGAGGAATGTTGTAATGAGTCACTTATTTAGTTATATTATTGGAAACATGAAAAATGAGTATAGAAAAAATGGTAATATATAATGGCTCATCTGTGTATTTAAGATAACAGTATGTGATTGCTTTGTCCCCACTATTCTTTCCATCATCTGGTAGAATATTGTTGTAATGCAACATCTGTACCCCATTTGTATTAAAATGCATGTAAAGTCTTCTAGTGTCCTGATTAAATACCATGTGCTTGAAAGGGGAAAGAACTTCTCTTTGTGCTTACTGATGTGCCCAAATTACATTTGCATGACCTGATCATTAAGTGGCTGTGGTTCAGAGGGTGCTGCTGGAAGTATCTCCGCTCAGCGCTGGACTGACGTGGTGTTCATCGGGTGACGTGTACTCGCCTCGTACTTGGCATGACTTCCTACTGAATTGCTGCGTTCTCTGTGTAACCCGGGTGTTTGGCGTGGTTCATTTCAGCTGAGTAAGTTCAGTACAGACATTCCAGAGAGTTCAGGGAGCCCTATTCACACCTCACCTCTGGCCACCTGAGGCAAGCAATAGCCAGGGTGTGACTTGCTGTGCCGCCGCCAGAGCTCGGCAGTGGCCTCTGACCTGCACAAGTACAGGCTCCCAAAGTGGTGGCCCATTATAAAAAGAAACAAACCAAAACCACCTGTGACACGCTATTCCCAACGGGGAATAGTTGAAGTTTTCGTCTTTCAAGGAAAGCAAAGCATCCTTTCTTTGAATCCAGAACAATTCTCTTGCAAATTATCCAAAAGAGAGCTGCTGTAAAGGATGAAGAAGTTTTGAGCATCCCCACTTCTGCCTGTGTATTTGGCCATTTCTTTCAGCTGTTCTAAATCCAGAACTTGGGCTCTCCTGGGGTAGGCTGTGGAGGTGTCTGTAAGGCCCAGTGAGGTGTGTATAAGGCTCAGAATACTGAACTTGTAACCATTTTTGTTTTGATGTCCTGTATATGTATGTAGTAGTTTGGGTGTGTATATACAGTAGCCTTTCAAAGTGGGTGTATTGGTTAACCTCTTCTTGGAAAATGGACAATATCCATGTTAAACTTGTTAGAAAGTTAGTGAGCTGCTCTGCTATATGCCTTAAGCAAATATTTACTCATCAGGTCTTTCTTTTTTACAGATTGCCATAAAATAAACTTTTTGTAAGAAAATAAAAAACCAAAAAAGCTAAATGTTTTGGTATAATGCATTTTCAGGTATCTTGTCTTTTGTGTAAGCCGCTGCAAAGGCCTCACAGGTTATAGTCAAATTGTACAGTTTTTCAATTTCCCATACCAGTTTTCAGTTCTCTTTTTAGTTGTAACAATAAAATTCTGTTTTTTAAAGAAGGTACATGAGAGTCTCATTGCTTCCTGACTCCTCAGGGCTGGAGCCCCTTGCTGTTGGTTTGAACCTCTTGCAAACCTGGGCTAGCATGGTAACTGGGGGGGTTGTTTGGTAGAGCAAAGTGAGTTAAGTGTTACGGTAAGAGCTTACTCCAGGGAGAACAGCAAGTGGAATCCCATGGCTCTCCCTGACACATACATCTCCTTCCTCCAGTATTTTACTTTCAGCCCGACCCCTCAAAGCCCGTGAGTATTTTCAGGAGTTAAGCTCGCTGAAAGCTGCTGCAAGCTGCCTCCTCCCTGCACCCCTTCCCCACCAGCAGGTTTCCCTGCAGCCCCTTCTGGCAGAGCAGCCCGGGCGGGGCTGCCCCGGCCCGACCCCCGAGGCCCAGGACACAGCCCTGCACAGACCGGCCCGGCCTTTCCACTCCCTGTGCCGCCTGAGGAAGGCAAAGACCTTTTGGCTACCAGGATTAAGCTCGGCCTCCCCGCGGTGAGAGCCAAGCGCCTTCCACAGAACCGTGACTGCAACACCCCCGGGTGGGCGACGC